GAGAAGCACGGACTGTTTCCCGTCCGCTGAGGAATTGTCCTCCCCTTTGAGTCGGTCAGTCAGATCAAACCCAAGACGTCTGTAGCAGCAGCGACGCGACGCGCGAATCGCTTTAACGGGCATGAATCACGCAGAGCCAAACGTTTAATCATCTTTCTATTTGAACCCGTGAGGCCGAGCGAAAACGCCATGACTCACTCGGTCCTGCTGCACGCTGGGCTAAACTAAAAACATGACTCTGGATGTCACATTAGATCATCCCCGTAGCACATTTGACCGTTTATTTTTATTGCACAACACACTGTTAACGAGCTCTGTGAAACGCCGTGCATTACGTTGTGCTCCGAGAATAATTCCTAGGCCCTGTTTTGAAGGAGTCCCTCAAACTGAATGGAAGAAGAGGAAGAAAAAAAAGTGTTCTGCCAGGAAATATGAATGAAAACAGCTCCACTAAGAATAATAACAATAATCATAATGAAAAAAAAAGAAAGTAGTTTCGAGAGCTTTCCACATTTTCTTTTAAGTGAGTGATGACTTTGATAGGCTGCAGAGTCGTTTAAGCGAACGCATGTGTCAGGCATTAAGGTGGCAGATGAATCATGTCCACTTCTCCCTCCACTCTTCTCTCTTCCTGGCCCTTTTTTTTTCCTTTCTTTTTTTTCAAGAGCCTTTTGGAAAAGCATAACGTGATCGCTTACAGCTCTGGCCCTGGTTGTCGGTAACCCTGCCTAAATCAACAGCCGGCCTGCAGTTCTGGTGCAAAAAGACGTTTTAAAGATTGTAATGGGCCTGTAAAACGGAAACCTGCCATACACCGCTGATTGACGGCCAGTCCCGCACACACACACGCGCGCAGGCCGTGATGTAGTGGTGTGTGCTTGGGATGGGTGATGATAATATTTCACTTGTGGGTGTGTGTGTGTGTGGGGGGGGGTGTGTGAGACGGAGAGAGAGAGAGACAAAAAGAGAGAGAGCCCTAAGTGAAATGTAATTGTGGTTTGCAGCATTTTGTTTCCAAGAAATCAATCAAGCCAGAGACAACCACGTTAAAGCAGAAATACATTGGCCTATAAGAGATTTTCCTCTCCATTGAAGGGAGGGTGGGGAGGGGGGGAATCCAATAAAAATACAGGAAATATTAAGGCCTTTTTAAAACTTTGAACTCCAACTGATTGCTCAAATGTTTCCTCCTGAGGTCCGCTCATGGATAGCGGCCAGCAGACAGGCTTTTGGCACTCTTGAAGCCATATTTAAAAATTTCCTACTTACCTCACACAGAAGTGTTGCTTAATCACACTCAGCCCGAGGAATCGAGAAGAAATGGGGCTTCATTAAGTTAAGCCACGAGTGCATCTGAGCCCTCTTTGTTCCGACATGTTTTTGCCTTTCTTCAGGAGATTTATCAAGTGCAATGCTCTAAAAATAAAAAATAAAATCTCATATTTGTATTGAAAACAGAACATAAATACTCTGAGTATTAGGGAGGTGTACGCTGCCATGCAAAGCCATTGGTACCATTTGAGCTTTTCCACATTTTCTCACAAAACAACCACTTTTTTGTATCATTGTGCTGCAATTACAATGGGAAATCTTTTGCACGAATGGAGGTTGAAAGTTCTGCCGATGCTTTTCAAGTCGGACCTCTGATTTTCAATTTGAATCGAGGTCCGGGCTTTGTCTAGGCCGGCAGCTTTGATCCGAGCACTTGAACTCTGCGACGTTATCCTGTGTCTCAAGTTTTTCCAGTCTCTAGAAAAAAATACAGCTTACACCCTAAACCTTACTCTTATCCGAACCCTAACCAAAACTCAACTCACGCCTTGGTCCTAAATCTGACCCCTGACCCAAAAACAGCATTTCCCCTTGTGGGGACTGAAGCCTCGTCCCCACCAGGAGCAGTGAGTCCCCACAGCGTAGTGTGTGTCAGGAAAATGGTTCCCACAAGGTATTACAAACAAACGGACATAACACACACAAACTGCCAGGTGAGTAAAAATGTTCTGGGAAGCTTCGGAGAAACCGATTGTGGCAACTTCACTTGTTAGTGTTTTAGCTAAATCTATACTGTAACTAAAATGCCTACAAATGACTAAATTACAACCAAATCTTTATTAGATTTTAGTCTGGATGAAAGACTGTGATTGTACAGAGAGAAAATGGCTACAATGCGATGGCAAAATATAAACAACAACAAAACGTAGACGAGTGGAGTGTTTGGAGTTCAGTCGAGCCATTTCAGTGACCTTGTGATGCTGCAGGCCCGGTCTGACTCCAGGCCGTGCCGGTGATAGGACTGGTGTGTGGGATCGACCTCTCTGGCCTGCTGGGAGGCCAGCCGGCCTCTTTCTCCTTCTTCCTGACGTCGCTTCAGACGGAAACCGTTTGTTTCCACAGCCGCGCGCCTGCTGGGATCCGAGAATGCGGACGGCACTCCAGCAAACTGCTTTACAAGGCCGTATGTCTGAGATGTCAACCCTGGGGCCTGCTTGGTTTGTGAGAGGAAACCCAACTATGTTGTATTTTTGTATTTATCTTTTTTTTTTTTGTTGAAGCACAAGAAGAGCCCTAATACCTTTACTTAGGGAACGTGTCGATGACATTTGGTCAGGTGGCTAGAGGTACATTTTTGACGTTTGTCACAAAAAGTGCAATCAGTATTTTAAAGGTGAGATTGAAAATACTCGGTGCACTCAAGCTTTTGTTTTTGGTAGAAATGATGCTCCTACATGGAAACTTTACTACGAGGTGCCCTATAAAAGTGAAGAAATGCTAATTCTGTGTAAGTAAATCATTATACGAAATCGCTGAATTCATCCATTCATTGTCTGGATCTGTTTGTCCACACAGAGGGAACATTCAGTTCATCAGTCACTTAATTCAAGACGCAGTTGTTTGGGCAAAACAAATAGCCTGCTTTCATTTAGCAGCATAACCGGTTATATTAAAAAAACGAACAACTTTGTCAACTGGATGGTAATTTGTTGTTCATTTTATCACTATGTGACAGTTGTGTGGTGAAATAATGACTTGTCGTTTGGTTTTGCATGACAATTGTCTTGGCTACGGACAATTTGCGACATCTCCAACAGCGACTTCAGTGGATGGAAGGTTCTCTGATGGGATTTTACGATACAATATTTTCACAATTCATTTTCACAACTGTTTTCAACAATGTGCAGTGGAGAGGAAATGCCCTTGAAGTGGGTGTTTCAACAACCCCAAAGTGCACACCAGTAGGTGAGCAGCATCTAAGAACAATAGAACAATAGGACCTGATCCTCAGTCTTCAATCCAATAGAAAAGGCCAAACGTAGAAGGATGGATGGTACTCCAACCATCCTGGCCTGAATACCCAGGATGGTTGGAGTATTGGCCAGAATTTGTTGACTCTATGCAAATCAGTTGGTCTGGTGATTAACAGGATGACATTTCGGTTCATTCAGGTTTTCATTAAGTAGATCAGTTTCCCTTCGTGGGTTGATGTGCAAAAAGGCCAAATCCCTTCCTATAGCCTCTCTTCTTTCCCCTTCCTTCAGTTCCGACCCTTGTTCCCATGGCATTTAGAGAAAAACCTCAGCTAATTAGCTTTTTTTTCACTCTCTCTTTTTTTTTACGAGACGCAAAGTGCTCCGAGGACGCGTCGCCTTCCTCAATAGCGGCGGGAGATTTGTGTGATGGGTTAATGGCCAGGGAGGGAAAAGAGCTGCGGTGGCGATATTGTTTTGTTGGCGTTTGGTTTGAAGTGCGCCGTGACCCCTCGCAGTGTTTTATAGACACGGGTGTCCCTCCGTGGCCCACCGAGTGTGATGCGAAGCACATTAACAGGACGAGACAACACACACACACACACACACAACGAGAGAGACAGCTATGAAAACTCCAAGGTGCCTCTGCTTTCAGAGGAGGAGAGATTGAAGAAGTGAGTTTGCGACTCCTCCAGCAGTCACTCGTGAAGGAGTGGGGAGGGGGGGCCTCAATCCTGAGGGCCCTCGCCTCCCGGCCTGCCCGGCCTGCCCGGCTCAGCGGCAGAGATCCAGTATCTTTTTTTCTGTTCTGCGTGGAGGTGACGCGTCCCCAGAAGAATGCGCTTCTCTTCCTCTGGTTGCTTACTTCACTCGCACGGCCACGGAGCTGTCGCTTGAGGAATCTGGAAAACACCAGCGGGGGAATGAGAGGAATTTCTGCTTCTTTTTTCTCTCGTTTTCCTCCTCGGCCGCCCCTTCCCCTCCTCTTCCTCCCTCAGCCCTCGGCTCTCTCATTTGCTCCAGACGCCTTCAAGCAGCCGCGCTCTTGAGTTTTCTCTCGTTTCTGAACCAAGTCCAACAATAACAACCGATCATAAACAAAAGGGGGTTGTTGATTGGTGGGGGTGGGGGGAATCGGGGCGATCACTGTAACAAAGGTTAGAACCCTCCACCCCACCCCACCCCCAAAAAAAGGTGGAGGCCACACAGAGGACCGTGAAGGATTTAAGAGGGGACTTTAGGAAAGAAGCATCTCTGAAGAACCATAAACACATGCTTTGGTTCTTTCTTAATCCATCTTTCCTCCAGAAGCACTTTGATGGATAAAACTCCTAAAGTGGAAGCTGGTCAATGTCAGGAAACCACAAAAGCGCAGAAGGAAAAGAGTGGGGGAGAAAAAAAAAAGAAAATCAGTTTAGAAATTCTCTGCTTTTACACCACTAGTGGTCTCGTAAAGGGAGTCTGGACCACATTGAGTGGGTTTCTGAAAGGCCCATCGTGGACCTGCCCTGTCAGCTCCAGCCTATGGATAATACTACATGCATACCAAACCCAAAATCTCTTGACGGGGAGATGATAATGCAAACCGATCTGTCTTAGAATAACTTCGGCTCTTGGGTTTCCATTTTAGGGAAAAAAAAAAAAAACCCTTCTTGCACATTACGCTCCTTCTTGCTGCTGAAGTGATTTTATGAGTCCCACATCATCTAAAAGCAAACAAAACGTCAAAGGAGGCTCAAAAGGAGACGTGTAAACAAACTTTTACATTTTATTATAATTACTTACATACTGAATTCCAGAGTGAGACTTTTAGAAATACAAAGATTCTCCCACCCCAACACTCTCCCTTAAAGTTAAGCTTTCCCTGGTTCAGTTCCTTTCAGAACAGGAGGGGATAGTCCGCCCCCTTGTGGTCAACAAAAAAAAAACACAATCACTTATTACATTTTTCATGGTTGACTTGATATAAGTAGAAACGCATCCAAAGCAGTCAAAACAATAGGAAAGTATTTGACTCAGGCACACACCAAGCACTCCGAAAACGCGTTCAGTGAACAGGACGTCTCCGGGATCCTCCGTCTTCATTTCTCTACAGGCTTGAACGGATCCGACCAGATCTTCACACCTTCAGACAAAAACAAAACAAAACAAAAAAAGATCAACACAGAAATTCAGAAAACACAGCAATACCTTTCCATAACAGCGACAATTGTCAACTGAAGCGTTATATTATTTTGACAATAATGATTGGGTAATAACTGTCTGAGAGTTCCTCCTCTTCTACGGCATTGCCTTCTTTTTTCTTCTCTCTTTTTCACTCTAGTCCTAGATGTAAATGCTCTGCACATTTAGGGAGAACCACTGTATACGAGATCCAGATGGGATCAGATAATTGCAAATGAGCATAGATCAATATCAACCAAGTACTTCCACCACACTGGTGAAAGAAACCGAGATGTCTGCACCTGTGGTACTACTGCTACTTTAGAGAGAAAATATTGTGGGGGAAAATATTGAGCATTTCTGATTTGGAGTGAAATTTAAGTTCGATAAAAGCAGGCAGAACTTTAAATGTGAGCAGCTCTCTTACCTGCAGGTTGAATATCGGCCTGGTTGATTCCTGCCCGGTTCACCTTCTGGACTTCTCCTAGCAGAGGACAACAGGATCCAGGTTAAATATTCCACTGCGGTCACATGTTTTTACGAATAAAATCCTGAAAAGCACCAGCAAGTTGCTGGTCATTCTCATCCTTGTATTTCCTAACAAGTCTTCAGTCAGAGGCCTCTTGAGCTTCGCTGCGAGGCTGACTGCTACCACAGGTTCTTCCAGCTCACAACAACTCTGTTAAAATACTTGAATAATCCTGAGAACATTTAATTTCCCTCCAGGACAAACAAAGTGATTCTGAATTGAGTTGAACGTGTAATCAAACAAGCAAAAACATAGAAATCAATTCAAATCATCTCCATCTTCTTCTTGTTGCTCCCAGACAAACAGAAACCATTAAAACGACCGTTGAAATGACCAAAGTCGATTCTGATTGGTTACTTGTGTTTTAAATGGGAAAAACAACACTGCACTCAGCTGTGACTGTAATTAGACGACGAAATGATACAAAGCGCTAACCGTTCACAGCGTAGTCTTTGCGGTTACTTACTGTATTCCTCCTTATGTGTCAGAGGATAAACAAATATGGGATACAAGGCGGCGGCCACCGCCGTCACAAAGCCTCCAAACACCAGAACTATTTTAGTGTTTTTAGACATCTTTTTATTACGTGTGAAGCTTCCTGTCACCTCCAGAAGCTCTCGGGGTTTACCCTACTGGACTGCTTCCGGTGGGGAAAGGTCACAGCCAGCGTACCGGATGAGTCGTCACGCTTGGCTGCGCCCCATTTTTCAGCCGGTGAGCCAAACGGGCGCGTGGAGGAGGCGGGGTTAACCTCTTAAGATTGTGCCACAGTAAAGAAAATATTGCAAAATGACCGCTGAAAATATGAATAATAACACAAAAATAAAAGTAAAAAAATAAAAGCATCATATGTTATATATGCTTCTTTTCCAATGGACTTTGTTACTGACAAAAAGCAACAATGAAACAGAAGAAATAAATTAATAAATACAGAATAAACTTTAAAAAATAAAATACTGTGTTAACTGTTAACATAGTTTAACACCAAATTGTTACATTTACACAAATTTAACCCGTTTGAATGTGGTAGTTATAAAAATTGAGTTTCAAAAATTAAACAACGAATGAAATAACAAGAACATGTAGGCAAATACAAAATTAACTATAAAATTACAGAAAATAAGCATATTGAAATAAAACAGTAACGATAAAATGATTAAGAAGCCATACATACACACAACACACACACACACACACACATACACACACACACACACACACACACACACACACACACACACACACACACACACACACACACATATATATATAAGTAACTTCTAATAAATGGATTTTACTGAACCAATGACAAAACAAGAGGTGCATTAAAAATAAGTAGGCCAGACAGAAACACACAACCTTTGATACACTGACAAAACAAATAGAGGTGATAATAATAAATAGATCATTACAGAGACGCTATTGATACATGTGTGTTCCTCAATTTTCATCCGTACTTCTTTCATTAAATAGATTTCACTCAACCAACAACAATGAAATTCTTCGTTCAGCTCTTCCGCTTGCTAAACTCCTCCCACACCGGTTGGTCGACGCTGCTACCAACACCACCCGGCGGCCGACTGTGAAAAGGAGGCGAGTCCAGTCACATGCTCTTTACAAAACAATAACAAGGAAACGAGGAAGTGTCGGTGAACGCCAGGGAGCTTTTCGCCAGAGGCTCCGACAAAATGCACCTTTTATCCCTCGTCGTGTTCGTCTCCTGGTTCGGTTCGGGTAAAACCTCCGGAGAGGACGAGCCCATTCAAACATTTGTGATTCCTCACAGCCACATGGATGTGGGCTGGGTGTACACCGTCCAGGTTGGCTCGTTCATGCTCCAGTCGTCCTCCGGAGTGCTGTTGCATTTGATCTAAACATGATCGTGTCCTGCAGGAGAGCATGCGCGCCTATGCGGCCAACGTGTACAGCAGCGTGACGGAGGAGCTGTCAAAGGTGAAGGAGCGCAGGTTTATCTCCGTGGAGCAGGAGTTTTTCAGACTGTGGTGGGACTCGGTGGCCACAGACACCCAAAAGAAACAAGTATGGACACTCGTCTACAATCACATGATGAGCTGTCTCTGCTGCCTGCATATTTTTGGTATTGATCCGATACCAAGTAAATATAGTATCGACTTATAGTATCGACGACTGTCCCTGATGCCGATACCAGTGCCGATACTTATTAAATAGATCAACAAACTTCTGAGTTTTAGGCGTTGTTGTAGTTTTATTTTCTTTGAGCTATCTTTTTCATTAAAACCTGGGAGAGGTGTCTACAAAATGACATATTTACACGCTATGCATGTAAAAACAAAGCAAATTTGTGTAGATTATTTTCTAAAAAAAAAAGTACAAAAAATAAGTTTTTGAGAGCAAAGCACAGCAAAATCTTTTTTATGGTACGGTTGAGAAACTACAATACAAAAATAAAATACAGTTTAAAGAGGGAATCAACAAAAATATCAATCTTATCACCACATCAGTATTGATAATTAGGATCGATCAGCCCACCTCTGCTTCTGACTGTTAAAGGCACACGTACTATAATCATTTTTCCTTTACTGCACTTCTTGAAAGCTAATTAATGGAGTTTTGTCTTGCTATAAAGAATTAAAAGCACTATGACTGGCACCTTGAAGAGAAAAGCGGCTCCAGAGTTTTTATTTGCTCACCATAAAAGAATATGTTTTCTATGACTGAGATCGGTGGCCGTTCTCAGATGACTGATGCCCTGTGCAACCGTCTGCCTCACTCTCACCTTCCCACACTGTATATCTGAGACATACAGCACCAGATAAAAACTGACTTCTAAATTCCCAGTTAGCATTGAATGCAGCATCAAAAGTTTACGAGATCTTTTGGTACTTTGAAATGTCGGTTAAAAAATAGTTTGTTTACATGAACTTATGAAACAAAATACAACTGCAACAACATGACCTTAAAGAATTAAACTACTTTCAAACTACATTTGACTCCCTATTAAGTTACCTTCCTTTGAAAGATTTCCTTAAGAATCAAAATAGATAATAGATTTGGGTGTTATTTGTCCTGCTGAGTGATTAATATTGCTTTGCTGCGGGACTTGAGCTGATCTTGTCAGATCACCCATCTAGGTCCGGCAGCTCGTGAAAGAACGTCGTCTGGAGTTCATCATCGGAGGCCAAGTGATGCACGATGAGGCGGTGACGGACCTAGAAGACGAGATCTTGCAGCTGACCGGTAAACCCTACTCCTGCTCTTCTCAGACCCCACGGGCTTGCCGTCGAGACTCGCCCGACCCGCTGACTCTGCCGTCGTTTCAGAGGGCCACGGCTTCCTGTACCAAACGTTCGGCGTGCGTCCGCAGTTCTCCTGGCACGTGGATCCGTTCGGCGCCTCGGCCACCACGCCGGTGCTGTTCTCCCTGGCCGGGTTCAACGCTCACCTCATCTCTCGCATCGACTACGACCTCAAAGACAGCATGCAGAAAAACAAGGTGGCCTTGGCTCTGCAGACTGCACTAGGAAGCGGCAAGAGGTCTTTTGCTAACTGATTGTTTTCTGACTTCAGAAACTGCAGTTTGTGTGGAGAGGGTCTCCCTCTTTGAAAGCCCAACAGGAGATCTTCACACACACCATGGACCAGTACAGCTACTGCACGCCGTCTCACATACCGTTCTCAAACAGGTGCTTTATGTTAATATTTCTTTCTCTAACTACATCGCCTTACAAAGTGATTCATACCCTCTAACTTTTCTTCATTGTGTCACTTTAGAAGCACAACCTCTATTGTATTTTATTTGGCTTTAATACGATTGACCAACACACCAACACAAAGTAGAGAATAATAGGGAAGTGGATGGAGATAAATCTATGTTTTTCAAATGGTTTTTACTAATAAAACTCTAAAAAGCATGGCATCCATTATATTGAGTCATCACTAAGCACCATCCACAACCAAACCTCCAAAAGAAACCTGCTTCTGTTTGTCAGCATAGCAAAACCTAATTTACTCCAGTTTTAATAACTAAAAGCTCGCTCTTCCACCTCAGATCCGGTTTCTACTGGAACGGCGTCGCTTTGTTCCCGGACCCCCCCAAAGATGGAGTCTACCCCAACATGAGCCTCCCCGTCACCAAGGAGACGGTGCACGCGTACGCTCAGACCATGGCGGAAAACATCAAGCAGAGGGCGGCGTGGTTCAGGACCAACCATTTGCTCTGGCCTTGGGTGGGGCAACGCAAACTGTCATTTTTGTGACTTTTATCCTGGAAAGGGTTTTTGTCTTGAAATCAGTTTCAGAATCTTTGTTTATTTTTTTTTTAGGGCTGCGACAAACAGTTTTACAACTCATCAGTGCAGTTCAGGAACATGGACCCTCTGATGGCGTACATCAACCAGAACAGCAAGGAGTTCGGCGTAACGGTGCGGTACGCAACTCTGAGCGAGTATTTCCAGTCAGTCCACCAATCAAATCTTACCTGGGATGTCCGTGGGAGTGAGGATTTTCTACCATATTCGACAGGTGTGTGTAAGCAGTGTGTATTCTCGCAGAGTAAACAATGGGAAGCTGTTGTTTAGGACTACAAACCATTGAAATTTTAGTGTGGAAAGGTTTTTTTTCCAGTGCAACTCAGACAGTTGCGAGTGACATGCACACATACAGGAAGTGTTTTTGCTACATTTCCCAGAGCCCCACCAGGCATGGACGGGGTTTTACGCTTCTAGAAATGTCCTGAAGGGAGTGGCGAGGCGGGCCAGTTCCCGGCTGCATGCAGCAGAGACGCTCTTCACCCGGTACCGGATCAGCTTCCCAGACGGACCGGTAGCCAAAGACTGGGCTCTGGAGAAACTCAGGGCTCTGCGCTGGGCTGTCTCCGAAGTAATCCGCCTTCGGCTTTTACATCCAAATCATAACGCGAAAAGATATAATTGTACGTGAAGAAGTGAATGGGAATCGATACGTGCTGTAATTCTTTCCAGGTCCAACACCATGACGCCATCACTGGTACCGAGTCTCCCAAAGTGGCGGAAATGTACGTGCAGCACCTGCTGCAAGGCATGATGGGAGCTGAGGAGCTGCTAGCCGCGCTCTTCCTGCTGCCGCAGAACCTGGACGTCTCCGGCGTTCCCAGCAGAAGCTTCCAGGGAAAAGGTACGAGCTGAAACCCTTCCACCTTTTTATAAACGTACATTTATGGGATGATGTTTATTGTATCGCTTAGCGTGAGGAGAAATTTCTCATCACGATCGTTTTGATTTATTGTGGACTTGTTAAGTTTCAAATCATAATTTTTGAAAGAAAAAAAGAACATGGTAACTATTATTTTTACTTTTTTTTCTACACTATATTCTCCATGAGAGCATCTATAAATATCAATGAATTTGAAAATATGATTGAATGCGGATACAGTGATGATTTAAGAAACTGACATCCTGAAGAAGCATATTTCAAGTACATTTTACCTGAAAAAAGATGGAATAAATAGTTTTTTAAATAGTTTTTACTGACATTACACTAGCACCACAAAATGTCATGATTTATTTGGAAGTCCAAATCACACACCCCGAGGTGACATGTCCCCAGAATTGGCTTCTTCTTCATTATTATAATAAATAATTAACATCGTGTAAATAGGCTTTGTCACTGGAATAAAACTTTGAATTAAACATAACTCGGCATGTGGACTTCTGAAAGCGACAAACCAAGAAAACATTGCACAAGGTTTATTTTTTGATGGATTTTCTCTTGTCTTGTAACGGAGAACGTTGTACAAACTGAGGTACGGTGGAGGCAGCGTCATGCTGTGGTGATGGGATAGTGAAAAGTAAGTTGCTAGCTCTAAATTCTTCTACTTTAAATCAAGTCCACAGCCTTATTATCTGAGAAAGTTTTTGTCGCTTCTGACTTTTCGATCTCTTCTTCTTCGTGCCTCGTGTTTCTGACATCACCTCTTTGGTGTAACAGACCTTTAATGGGTTTCTCCAGCATTCAGTTGTGGATGTTTATTTGTGTTCCTATTTTAGGTGCCGGTCAGACTCTGGAGCAACACGTGATCATTTACAACCCACTGGCGTGGAACATCACCTCTGTCGTTAACATGACTGTAACCTTCCCGAGCGCTGTGGTCCGTGACGACGACGGACAGCCCGTCCCTGCCCAGGTCCATGAAAGTCTCCTCCTGTTCCAGGTAATTTAGCTCAACCATCATCTTCTGAAATCAACCTTCTCTCTGTCCTTCTGTGTCGCAGATCCAGAGGTCGGCACAGTGCAACGCCTCCTACGACCTCTTCTTTGTGGTGCAGCTCGGCGGCCTTCAGCACAGGAAGTACTCCGTCCAGTTCTCTGAGACGGCGTGTTCCGGGAAGTTCAAGTGCCAGCGCACCCACGAAGCTCAAGGAGTTGCGTTCGAGCGACGGCGTGTGAGGGACTGGAGGAAAACGGGAAGGCGGCTTCTGCCCGTCATGAACGGCTGCTACAAACTCATGTTTGACCAGGACACCAACCTCCTGCACAGCGCCACCTACCTGTGAGTTTTTAAACCTCCTAGACAAGCAGGTGTTCCTCTCATATCGGCAGGGCACTTAACGTTTTGCACGTTTTCAACTGGATGTAGTTCCAGCACATGGAGTTTCTTTGTTGATTTGGTCATGAATGAAAATCCACCAGAGTCTGAATAAATAAATCTACTTGATTTTTATGTCAAATCTCTCTCGATTGTTCGTTTGTGTAAAATAAATGTGACAAAATGTGTGACAAATCCTCCCTTTTCTTACTTTATTTAAAGACTTCTGTTTGACTATAGAAATTATTTTTAAGCTGGACTTCTATTCGGACCGAGAGATGCATTAAACTGTAGTTACGGCAGTTCGCCACCAGTCGGCGTACAGAACACGGTGACTAAGGCAGCGCAGTAACTATCACTATCCGGTTCGCGTTTGTCTGCTGTTGATAGTTTTCAGCGATAAAAGAACTTGCGAAAATCAAGCTGATTAATTATTAAGTGTGCAACATAAACTAAAACGACTCTCTTGTGCTTCTTCAGCGGCAGAATGGAGCAAAGGCGAATCATGATGACGCAGGACTTCTGGGAATACGACGCCAATGGAGATGTGAAAGCAGGACCCATCTCTGATAACTACATCTTCAGCGCTAACGGGTCGGCTGTTCGGGCCTACAAGGCCGTGGAAATGGAGATAATCCCGGGAAAGGTGCTCACCGAGATCAGGCAGCGGTTCTACAGGTTGGTGGCTGGTGATTGGAACTACACTGCTAAAACACAAAGTATTTTTGGTCAAGGTGCTACTGTAAATGTCTTAGAACACTTGAAATAACACAAACCTAAGTACAAGTAAATTTTGAGGAAGGTATAGGAGCTTTTTAGGTCAATATTGAATTCTACTTCTATGCTAAATATCCTGCCAGTTGAGTCAGTACTTTTTGTTGTCAATATTCAGACTATTTCTTGATAAAAAGTTAGTTTTGTACTGAGATATTTGCACTAGAAACTAGATCAAATAAAATACTTGGTCAGACTTTGTGTTTTTGCGGTGCAACCAAGACGATTTCATCTCCATTAATGGTTGACGACCAACTCTGATTGACCGCTCTAGAGAGGACGGCGATGAGGACTACGCCTACTCGATCACCACTCGCGTCCCAGAGTATTCGGAGGCCGGGCCCTGGTGCCACAGGCTGGAGCAGACCTACTCTCTGGGCCCCCTGCGCCTCAACACAGAGGTGGTCCTCAGAACCAGCTCCTCCCTCAACAACAACAGGACTCTGTACTCGGATGACAATGGCTACCAAATGATGAAGAGAACCTGCAAGAAGTTCCCCAATAACACTGTAGCAAGGGTGGGATATTTGACAAAATGTGTTTTTGCATTTTGTTTTTTTTCCAGGTTTGGTGTTTGGTGGTAAATATGCTCCGTTTTTCTGTCTGCAGAATTACTTCCCCATGGTCCGAACGGCCTACATCCAGGACAACATCAGCCGCCTGGTGCTCCTCAGCGACAGAGCTCACGGCGTCTCCAGTCAAGCCGACGGACAGCTAGAGGTATCGACGAAACACCAACGGCCACTTGCTTTGTGATTTTTAGTCAGACGTATTTTAGAAAGCGTTCATTTTCTCTCAGGTGATGCTCCATCGCCGACTTTGGAACAACTTGCAGTGGAACCTCGGCTACAACCTCACGCTCAACGACAGCTCGGTTGTGAGGCCCACCCTGTGGATGATCCTTGGTTCTGTGGGTGCAACATCCAAGCTGCACCAGAGGGGGGCGGTAGAGCTGCAGCACAGACCCATCGTCATGCCAATAGACCGGCCTAGTAAGAATCTTCATAGGAAGGAGACGCGACTGAAACGGTGGTTTGAGTTGAATTTGCCTTTAAGGCATTTTGTCTTAAAGTTCAAAATTATTTTATAGCAAAACATAGAGGGTTTTAATATAGATGAATAGTTACAAAGTGTCTTATTTTCTTAAAATTGCTGTTTTTGTCCACCTTGTTGATAGTTTGGGATTTTACTTTACTGACAGAATAGACCGTTTGTACTCTCTCAGTTCACCGTCTGATTTAGATTGATATCAAAGCACAAGTAAAACTATAGAGATGACAAAGTCCGCTTTGAATAATCTGTTTTTACTGAAGGATAAGCCATTTCAGATTTCTCAAAGCACTAAAGATTTTGAAATGGTGCTAACGCAAGTTTGTCCAGAGATCAAACTTGGATAAACTTGGGTTAGCAAGTTTGTCACATTATAATTATTATTAAAGAGATAATGTGAAATATTCTTTTTCAATTTAAAGGCCAACTTTGGCATTGTGGAGTTTCATGAATTAAATATACTAATATTTGATTACATAATTTGATTAAATAATTGATTACATGATTGTTGAAAAGTTTGAAAGTTACAACTGTAAGAGGATATAAGAAAAACACTGAGAGCATTTTCTCTAGACTTATTGCTTTTAGAAGGCATCATTTTTCATATCCAAAGCAAATCAGGACTTTTACTAATTTAAAAATGGAGCACTAGTGTTAGCGTCTTAAGCAGTCTCTGTGTGCGTTTTCTAGAAAATGTCAATTCTAATACAATTTCAAAAAGGTGAAATTCTTACTTTTCTGACTTGCCAGTCACTGATCTGGGCAAATCGAGCTACAAAATTGTCAGATTGCAAAAACCTGATGATTCTTTTGCACATTTTTACATAAAAAAAAAAAGAACTTAGCCTATTCTCGTTCGCTTGAGTTTAAAAAGCTGTCTTGTCTTTTTCGATAGGTAAGTCCTGGAAGGACAAAGAGCCCAGATTTAACTCCCCAGTGCCTCCAGTTGTTCTGCCTCCCAGCCTCCACCTGCTCAGCCTCAGCGTCCCAGGATGGAACTACACCTCAGACCACGATCTTCACCTCAGCCACCTGCGTTCAGGTTCTCTGTGACTGAATGACGCGTCTGCAGAATTTCTTTACATCCAGGTGTTTTTTTTCTCATGCCTTTTTGTCATTGCCGTTTGAAATGCAAACAGGAAAGGAGTTGCGCCAGGAGCCCGACTACGAGCGGGTTCTGCTGAGAGTCATGCATCTGTTTGAGGAGGGAGAGGACCCCGAGCTTTCCAAGCCAGTCACCGTGAACCTAAAAGTACAGTTGCAAAAAAAAAAACACACAAATAAAATGTAGATGCATCGATGTAAAACAATTGGCACTTTGTCATGTTGCAACCACAAACGTCTTTGCATTTTGGCGGGACTTTGTTTGACCGACTCTTCTCTTGCGATCAGGACGTTTTGAAGGGTTTGGGGGAAGTGCGGGACCTGGAGGAGCGTTCGCTTACAGGAACCTGGAATATCACAAGCCTGCAAAGGTGGAAGTGGAAAACTGCAGACACCTCTGGGAAAAGTGAGGAATGCTCCAAACGAGAAAGGAAAGAAATTACTTTTTTTTTTCCAACTGCAAATCTTTCTCGCTTTCTGTTCTAGAAAATGACCAACATAAGAGGAATCGGGATTTCATCGTCACCATCTCGCCCAAAGAGATCAGGACCTTCTTCATTCACTTCAGCTCCAGAAACGATTAAACAGGCCCGCCTTCTGTCTTCTGTGAAGATCTCCGCTCCTTTGACAAATGATGTTACTTTGGAAGATTTAATGCTTTTGCTGCTCAACAATTCAATGCAGATTTTGCACAATGTGTTGATTGTCGCTCTCTAAACGGAGAATAATGTGCAGGAGTATGAATTTGTGACTCAGAGGGATTAAAATGATTATTTCTTTTCCACTTGCTTTAATGTTTCCTTCAATTTTTTTTCCTCCCACAACAAACATAAATCTCAGATTAATGTGGCTCACAGAGGAGGAAGTAAAACTGTTGGTAAATTCATTCAACTAGTGAAACAAACTAAATCCAAATGGGTTGTAAAAAAAAAAAATCTTTGAATAAAGAGAACAGTTTAAATGCCAAATGTCTAGAATCAAAAAACTGCTTGCATAGAACCCATAACAACCTGATGCAGACCAAAAGAGCCCCAAAACCCACACTTCATACGCTGATGTAAAGAAATTAAATACCAGATGAGAAACAAAGTCACTGATCTATCAGTCTGGAAAGAGTTATTTCTAAAGGTTCAGTACTCCAGCGGAGTGCAGTTGGAGCCATTTTTTATTGTTGTTTTATTGTTGTGGTTAAATTTGAACAATTTTGCAAGAACATTTGTCAGAAATTCATTTACAGCCGTATGAAACACTCGTTGCTAATTGGTGCAAATACCTGATAGAAGTTGTTGTTCCCCAAGCTGGCACATCCAGTTATTAGGTTTAAAGGGCAATTGCTTTTTAGATCGAGCCAGGTCGGGTTGAATAATTTTTTCCACTTAATCAATGAAACCGTCATTGGAAAACTTGTGTCTTGCATTCACTCAAGTTATCGATGATATTTCGTTTAGTTTGATAGTTGTTTTCATGCTGAACATCCCTCCCTCTAACCCCAGCCCTCTCCGACTAACATTGCAATTAATGTCCCCATTTGCCACTTGGCAAATCTCTGGCTGGATATTTGACAGCCCTTCTTGGCAAAATGGGCCAAGTTCCATTTAAGTGGTTTGTTTCCTGGCATTGTGTTCAGCTTTTAAACACAGTCCACAAATGTTTTATGTTGCTGAGGTTGGGGCAATTCCAGAAGCTTAATGACTTTGATGTGTGTTTGGGATCATTGTCCTATTGGATAAGGACAATAAACAGCATTTGGAGTTAGTCCCTCTCCATAACTCCAGCCGCCTTTGTGCAACGCAGAAGTAGTGGCTGCAGCAAACCGAGCCCTCAACATATTCCTACTAGGCTTTAAGGCCTTGCACGGACTCCTCCAAACATGTTTCTCACCACTGTTGCCAAATGGAGTGCTTTTTGTTAATTCTCTAACAATAAATCTCCAGAAGGTATTGTGTGGGCATCTACAATTTTTTTTTAAATGTCCTGTTAGTATAATGAGGGAACAATTGAAGTACCGTTTTACATTAGAAGGGTGATATATATAGATATAATCCCCCTTATCAGGAAGATAATCATACATTTCCGGTAAAGCCTGCGTTGCCAGGTTGGTAAGGCCGGTTCGCGTTGAACCGCAGTTGCAGTTTCCGCTGGTGGCCACTAGGAGGAGACACAGCCTCATCATTACGCCGCTGCCAGCAGCCAATACTGACAGACAACACCCAGCCGGGCAGAGCTGGAGCATTTTCTGGCTGCGTTAGCCATAAAATACACTGGCTACTGCTAAATGGAAGAGGATAGGTTTTTAAAAAAATGACACGAGGTGATTCATAAGTTGAGCGCCTGCTGGAAGAGAGGTGAATCCTGTGGTTTATGATAAGATGAGCGGTGCCAGCGTAAGTAGTGTGTTTTTGTGCGCAGCTGGTGGCTGCAGCTACCGTAATGTTTCCTTGTCTCCTCACAGCCTCGTATTTTTAAATGGGATGCCTTGTAAATGTAAAAGGAGATGTCTTTTAAATGTAAAAAAAAAGAAAAGGAGATCCTAGGAAGATGCAAGGAGGCGTTGCTTTGATACAAGACGGGAAGGGTTCTTATTGGCTGCATCGCTCGGAAGTGCTCTGGATCTGGCGTTGTTGTTGTTGTTGTTTTCTTTGCGCCTCACGTCCGTTTGTGTCCGAACAGAAGAAAGAGAGGGAGCAGAGGAGGAAGCTGCAGCACTTTTTGAACGACCTGGCTTCACTCGGATCGTTACAGGTTCGGTCTTCGTCGCGGCTCGTTCAGAGGTGACGTGAAACAGCCGCCTTGCTCCCCAACGCACACACGTCGTGCTGTTTCATTCCGCAGGGATTTAAATACTTCCAGCCCTGGCTGAGAGGGAAAGAAGAGCTGCTGCTGACTGTGGTCAATGAGGATCTGGTTAGTTTCATTCGATCTGGGCGTGCAGACTCACACATTCAGGGATGAACTGTTTATGAAGTAACACAGAACAGTCCTGGTATTTTTATTTTATTTGCTACATTGCAGTTAATTTGGATCCAGTAAGATATTATAGTGCCCTACTTTTTTTTTTTCTTTTTCTTTTTTATCCCAGTTGTAATTTACACATTACAATCACAAACTTCAATCTTGTTTGCTGGGATAAACCCAACAAAACAACTGACTTTCTTTGTAAAAGATCAATTTGTAATCAGCCCCTTTAATTAGGTGCCCTTAAATAAATAAATGACTCTTTGCTTTCTGATTTTTCCAAAAAGGTTCTCAACTAATGATAATGAAACCGTGAACATATTTTCCACCTTAACCTTAGGTGACTTATGAGGGCAATACTAATATACTACACACATATACAATTTTTATAAGTGAAAAAAAAATCCAAAAATTCATGTATCATCTAACTTCATACTTATGCATTACATTGTGTCAGTTTATCATAAATATTTTAATAAAATACATTGATATTTGTGTTTCTAAAGCAGCACAATGTAAAAAAAAAGAATCTATTCTTTTCCAACTTAGTGTAGTTTTGTCCCTCTCCGGTCCAACTTTGCAGGGTTGGCGCTCCCCGGGTTTTTTGGTTTCCAGGGCGTCGTCGTACTCGCCCAGCAGCAGCGGCGCGTCACCCAGCAGCAGCTCTCCCAGCCTGGACAGCAGGAGCAGCTCCCCGCTGCCCGGGGAGCCTCGGGGCCCGCCAGACGTCCAGACGGCTGACTCTCATTCCAGGTCGGCGACGCAAACCGACAGGTGACTGATTAGGCGTGACTTTGTGCGCGTCTGCTTGCATCAGGTGTTCAGTTTCAGAAGAGGGCGTCTTTTTTTTTTTTTTTTTCCTCTTTGATTTTACAAATGTCTGACGTGATGCTGAGTGTCGCTCCTCCACTCACTCGCTGATCTGTTTTTCTTGTAGGGAACCAAACGGTGAGGAGCATCTTCTCCCAGCCTCCCCCAGTGAGGGGGAGATAGCCGTACCAGTGAGCGCACGCCGACGCACGCCAACACGTTTCGCTCTGTTTTCTCCTGTGAGATCAACTCTTGAGCTCTTTCGGCAGGAGGTGAACTGCACTCTGTTCCTCCTGGCCGGTTACGTCAAGTACGGACGCCCGCACGCCTGGATCCGCTCCAATCACGAGCGGCTGGTCAGCATCGGTGGCATGGATTCGATGGTCAAGGACACGCCCATGAAGCTGAAGTCCATCACAGACTGGCAGACGAGAGGTATGGAAACAATGCGAGGAATCCAACCTGCAGGAGGTTACCGTTTCAGTGAACAGCTTCGGGAATAATTACTAGAGTTTCCATGAGCTGAGCCAGAAGAGGTTGGCTCCTGGATCTCTTCTGAGATTGTTCAGTTCAGTTTAGGTATTTGTTTGTTCTCGTTGTTGTAAAAAAAAAAAAAAAAAAAAAAAGGATTTTCTTTAAAAACCAATGATTTTAACGATGTTCATGAGATAAAAGTTTTTATCTCTGCAGGTATTCGTGTCTGGGACATTGTGAGTGAGCTGGTGTGCCTGTGCACCGTTCCCTCCCCCTCCAACCCTTTCGCCCTGGACATGCGCTACATCAAAACCCTTCCCCTGCGCGACCGCTTCCTCGTCACAGGAGCCCTCCTCGGCTTCCTGGAGACTTATCTGATTTACGGGAATCGGGACGAGCTGCACTACGACAAAGGTGTCTTTTCATAAGAAAATATTACAATTACTATTAAAGTCTGCAGGTGGTGCTGTTTACCATAAGAATCAGTATTTGTCTCAGACCACTTAAGGACATTAATCATCATTTCCTTTTCATTTGTGTTTCGGCTCGCAATTGTTTTTATTTTTTCCCTTTTATTTGTATGAACCAAATAAGAAGCAAAGTCTCCGAAAACTGAATATTTATATGAAAATTTGTTTAGTAAGTAGGAGAAAGTCATAAAAATGTCTGAGAGTATTAGACTGGCGACTGAACGGCTCACCATCTTTCTAAAATCTTTCTCTTTCAGTCTATCATACCAATAATTTGCTGTGAGTGAAGAAAAAGTGAAAAAAAGTTAAGCATAATTTCTGCTCCTGTTCTGACCAGCATTGTTACTGTGAGCTAATCCTACATGAAGGGCTACACACCAGGATGAGATGGTTAAACCGATTACCACTGAAAAACATCATCTCTGGTTAAATGTGCTTTCCTTCATTTGGCTCAGACACAGAGGGAAAAAAAACTGTGCTGCCACAGTTAATTAGTGGCAAATGACCGCAATTTTGACCTAATCAACTTTATGCTAACAAATAACTACAGCTGCCTTGTTGGTCTAGTTGTCGAGTTCCTGCTTGAGCTTTCTGGTGTAGCGTTAGCATTTCCTGGGCTCTGTCCTCTTTCCTCAAGTTTACCTTGTTTCTTCCCTTTAATCAAAGTTAACATAACCCAACTGGTTAAACAGTTGGGTTATAAATGTCCCAATAAATGTTCACTTCCTTTGAGCTCACCTGCACTTTCTGCACACGTATCTTTGTACCTAAACAGCTTGGTTTCTATCAAGAAAACCATCTGTTCTGTGATTTTGTGAGGGATTTCCAAACAGTGCAGGCATTATATCCATATGTGGTAAGGTCTTCCTGTTTAGAGGATGTGGCTTAAAGGGATGTTTTTTGTGTCACAAAAGTCCAAATTTATTTTACAATTATGTACCAACTTCAAAAACATTGTAAAGGTCAGATCTGGTTTTCTTTGTTCTTTTGGCTTCTGAATATGACATGTTAAAACCACTGGAAAAGGTTCATTTTTGTTTTTGATCAAATGAATTTCTCTTTTCAGTGGTAGAGGAAGTGAAACCCCTGAGGCATCTGCATTTCCAGGCCCTGCTGGAGCTACAGCGCCTCAGAGAGAGCGCTGAAAAGCCCGGTGGCTCCACAGGGCAGGACTCCTCAAGATGAAATCCCTTCTGGGCAACAAGTGGCTTTTATTGAGTGATGTTTAGGGACGCACCGGCTGCAGTTTACCGGTCGATCGCCGGCTACCGATCTTTAAAAAGCGATTCCGATTTTGTCCGATACCAGTTGTTTTTTGTCTGATGTTTCACTATTGTTAACTACAAACGTGCCGACATGACCTGGTGGGTCGGTTTATCAAACCTCTCACACCTGAGCAGAAGTCTTATCACTTAGATTTGTGCAATAAATGTTTAAAATGATGGCTTCATTATCAAGTCTTGTGTTATTTTTCTGGTTAAAAAGCGATTAGGCCCCTCCCGTGTTAGATTTTTGTCTAAATATCCGATTTAAAATGTCTAAAATCAAGGTTAAACAGTGAGGATCTTTTCCCAGCTCATTCATGGTTTGATCCAAGTCTTAATTTGGGTTTATGCTACATGTACTGTTATTTCATCCATATCTTTTGGTGGGGGTTTTCCCAGTCCAGCTGCATCTGCAGTGGGAAGGAGCTCACGTGAAAAGAGGCAAGTTGAAACAGAGAAACAACATTGAGAAACGACTTGCATGACGGATTTCGAATCCCAGGACCCTTTTAATAGACCTGCCCTAACGTCTCCAAAACTCTTCGATCCCCCTCCTCCTTCATAATCAGAGGCCAAGGTTTGTTTGCGTTCAGCTAAATATGGCTCTCAAAACTGATGTTTGGAAGCAAACATAACCAGGGTGCAGTCTGGTTTTATGTGCGTTACTGAAACGTAAAAGGAATATTCACACACAAAGTCAGTATAAAAACTTTTAATATTCCATAAAATACATATTTAGATAAATATGCACAGTACAACAATAAAATACACCTTGAAGCAGGCACAGATATTTTCTTTCAGATAGAGCTGCGCCTTTTGTAAGAATCACTGGACATAAAATCCTAAAATTCACTTTAAAAATAGTGGCACATAAAAAACAAAACAAAACAAACTAAAAAGTCCAGGTTTCTAGCTTAGCTTAGGAATAATAAAAATGAGAACATGATGGTAGGCTCAGGGCACACCATTTATCCTCAAGTCTCGATTGTAAACCTGACACATAAATTATCATGAGGACGTTATACACTGCAGCACACACAGAAAAATAAAGATTAAATAAAAGCGTGCTGCTGCTGGAGAGGCACAGTTATGGCCGGACACGAAGAATGTGAGGCTTTTTGAGACGATTCCCGATCTCAGATTTCTCCTGGCGTGGAATGCAGGTGCATGACTGTGCATTCCTCACCGAGGCTCCGCATGGGAACACAATGTCCTCTGGTGTTTTGGATGCCCAGCTGGTGCCGTTGGAGCTTCATGACGTACGTTTAAATTCACGGACGTTTCTTTTTATGTGCAGTTTGTAGCCAATGAAGATGATTTGCAGTAACTTGGTGGTGGCGCAGTTACCAGACCTGTCATGCAGTTCATAGAAACCAAAGTCCTGGTCATGAGCCGAAAACACTTGGGGTTTCTGTTGGAGGTTCATTAACAGGGGAAAGTGCTCTGAAAGTAACAGGAACAGGAACGACCTTTGAACAATAGAGATCGTTTTACTTCACTTGATGTGCCAGCATTCTTCCCTCTGAATCCTAAATGTCCGTTTAATAGAGCAGCAAACGTGTAAATGCCACCATGAATACAAAACACGACCTACTACAAGTTGCCTGTTAAACATTAAAACATATTTTTACCCCCAGGTTTGCTGATGGATCATTCAGCCAGCAGCTATCTCGCGTTCAACATCACACACTCTGGCTGCTCAGGACCCAGCCTCGTCCGAAAGCGGCCTGTTGCAAGCCCATTCTCGTTTCCGTCTCGCGTCATTAACATTTATCTCCAAACACTCGTCAGTTATGATAACACCCTTACAAGCAGTCATTATGTCACCAAATATGGATCAAGTTGGCAGCTTTAGCCTCTTCGTCTTGTAAGTCAGTCCCTCCCAAATTTCCTTCCTTCCTTCCTTCCCGCTTTCAGCGCTTCCACCCTTGAAGTTGTCAGCAGGTCAACGTAGAACCTTGGTCCAGTCAGAGGTTCAGCTCCAGCTGTCGGTGGCCGATCCTCTCCTGGTGATGCCTTTGAGGGGGCCTCGGGACGCAGAGCCCGTTCTCTTCCAGCGAACTGAGGAGGAGATAAATGGCATTGGTTTGAATTTGAGGTACTAATTCGCTTTTTTTAATACTAACTATGTTAGGGCAGCAAATTCTTGACGTAGCGACGCTGTTGGTTGCTACGGTTTTCCCGTCTCCTCACCTTTTCCCAGCCCAGCCGGCAGCGTTGAGCTCTTGGCTTTGGTTGCAGAGTTACAAGACTCCTCCAAACGTTTGACCTTCGCATCTCCCGGCGGCAGAGAGGCCGAGCCGTCCTGCCAGTCGTTCAGCGCCCGCTGGAAGGAGCGCGCCAGGCAGGCCGTCATGTCGCGCGCCCGCTCCGCCCGGCTGCACCAGAACACCCGGCACTGCAGCTGCTGGCCCTGATGCTTGCAGATGTACAGGAAGACGTTGGGTCGGCCGGCGTCGGCGGCGCAGTACGCAATGTCCTGCAGGTACGTCTTGGTCAGCTGGCGCCCCGTGCTCAGCTCCTTGACCTCTACGTATCTCGGCCGCACGACCAGAGCGTGATCTTTGCCCAGCTTCTTCCCATTTGCCATACCGTCCATCAGGTGTGAGATGGCCTCCTGGGCTTGCTCTCGGTCGAGAGAGAAGATCTTCACCGTGCCCAGGTAGTGGACTTTGAACAGAGGGTCGCCGTGGGAGAGCAGCTCCGTCCGGTCCCGGCGGAAGCGGCGTCGGAAGGCAGCCGGGGAGTTTTTGAGGGTCTGCATGAGGTTCAAACTACCAAGAGCCATGGCGCCCTTCAGGTTGGGTTTGGAAGAAGCTTTGGGTAAGGTGTACCTGCTCGACTTGAGCTCGTCTTCTGACTTTTTTCCAATCATCCACCTTTCTTCGATAGATGAAGATGGTTTTACCTGAAAAAAAGCAAATGAAAAGATTTAAACAACAGACAAGACGACAAAACTGATACATAAAATGAAATGGGAGCTTGGGAGCAAAAGGCACAGGACAAGGTTTCTGCACGGTCACACTGAAGAAAAAAAAACAAAACAAAACCTGCAAGTCAGTACAGCTTGCAATTAAAGGCCATGGAACAGGATTGGTCACAAGTGTGACGCGCTCAGTCAAATATTCATCTCTTGTAAACACCAATTAAATATTGTCTAACTGGTTAGTTTGGTTTCCAGACCAGATTGGGCTGGAAAACAGGCCAAAAATAAATGGAAGGTCACTTTAGAAGAATCAAAGCAACAAGTTCATACTTCTGTTTAAATTGAACTTGAAAACTTCTGAGACATTTCAAACTCTAGCGTTATGCAACCATAACTAACCTCCTTTTGTTTTCCTCACATTAGTCCCACTGGACCTGCCTGGTCTCCCATTGTTTCCCTTACTTGTTCCCTCTCTGTTTTTCTTTTTTTGGGGGCCATTCTTTTAACATCCGAGCTTCGTCCTCAGGAGAGAATCTCAGAAAGAACCACCAACGGATTTTGTTGAGGTGACCATTGTTAGTAAAACCCCCTGTGCAGGAAACAGCCTTGCATTCCCCATCCACCTCCCTCCTAAAATATTTCTCCTGCAGACAATAGAAATGTTTCTGAAACTGCGTCAAGTCACAAAAGGAGACGCAAGCGGACCCACAGCCCTGTATACCGACCCAAAAACATGCATGTATGGTGTTGCAAACATGGGAAAGTACTTGCACCGCTAGCTTTGCATCAAAACAAAGCCTACGTGAAACTTTCTTATCGCTGTGCAGAGGCGTGAAAGTCAACAAGGACTCAAAAACATCTGGAATCCCTTGATTGGCCTTGGCAGATCAAGACAGATGTATTGATAAATAAATGAGGATAATCTTGTAAGTCGGTAAATTTCTGATCAATGCATCTTTAAACGTAAGCTTTTTTACGCGTGTAAACATGTTTGTAGGGTCAGACTATACAGCTGAAGATGCCTTTGTAAATATTTGCAATATTAAAAGAACATGTGTGATAAATGTTATCAAACTCTTGAGATTTTCTAAACTGCACTAAGAGCTAAACGTCTAGCAGCTTTTTCAACTTTCTAAAACAAAAGTGGATGCAACTTGAAAGATGGTTCACCTTCAATTACCCAAGGGGTCACAGACATTTAACAGCATCCTAAATTGAAAAACAAAAGATAATCCATACTTGACACCCTTTTCTGACATTTATTGGGGGCAAAATAAAAAATAGTTGGCATTCACCACACTGTCAGAGTGGTCTATTACATGAGTGGATCTAGGTAGTCTGTACTCTGCCCCACATGGTCTGTACAAAAGTACAAAATATGTAAAAAAAAAAAAAAAAAAAAGATTTGAATGATACATATAAATACTTTTGCAGTAGTCTGTAATTTATCATCTTGAGCTATGGCAAAGTTAATTTCAAATCAATCATTTAAATTAAACACAATAAATTCTCATAGCCGAATAAACCGCTAAAGCGTAAGGATGTAAAAACAAACTTAAAAAGTCTCAGAATGCCCAGTAATTTGAAGAAATTTCAAACTTAGGGTGAAACTGGAAGTTTCCCATCGGGCTTCTGCATTAGTCAAAGAGCTCTTACATGCGCGCACTGACCGCCCAATTACATCGCTTTCTAAAAGACGAGGCGTTATGCTGGTGAGTAAACTATCGTGTAAGAGTTTTGTTTCACTAAAAGCGACATTTATAAGCACGGCGTGTTGCTCTTGTTGGTCTTACCGGAGCAGAGTTTCGCGCACACGGCGTCCTCCTAAGCTTCAGGTGAACCACCGCGTCCTGCGGGCTTTAAACTCGCCGAGCGGCAGCTGGAAACCGACAGGAAACCGTCTCCTTGTCCCGAGGGGAGAAGCGAAATGAATAAAACCTCTTCCATATATGTGCGTGGACCTCCTTGGACTCCAACACGACGACAGAGCGAAGGTGACAGACAAACTACCGAACGAGCTAATTTGCGCCTCCGAGGAACCCGCGTGCCGCTCCGAACCAACTGAAGCACGCGGCTCGCGCGAGGACCTGTTTTAAAAGATGCAGGCGCGCGCGCGCTCGGCAGTGTCGGCGACACGTGAACGAGCATCCAAGAAGGAGCCAGATGTAGGTAGTGAAACCTAGGAGGAGGGGGAGGAGGACAGAAAGGTGATGATTTACATCAGACAGAGGGACAGGACTGTCCCGCAGCGTGGACAATCATTGACCTGAGTTTGGTTCACTTACTGGCAGCCATGATTTATTACCCTAACTTCCCAAAACGTTCAGCCATTTTCCTCAATTCATATTCAAATTCAAACTAATTTAAAAAAAAGTATGTTCTTAAATCATTCCAAAAACATTCAGTCATCTTCTTCAGTAAACAGACACAGTGTTGAATTTATAGATGGCATTGTGTGTTACGGCTCTTCGAATCACTATAATTAATTTTAGAGAGCTGGGTTGATCAGTTTGTCTGGTGAGCTCAATTATAGGAAAATTCCTGGTATGGTCACCATCTTCCTCTGACCTCTGACCCTATTGAGAACCTTTGGAGTATCAGAAGATCTGAGGGTGGGATGCAGTTCATATCAAAACTCCTATGTTAGCATGTAACTTGGTCTGTTAAGATGTTTTTGATTGAAATAGCTTTTGATTTTAGTACACTTAATGCTGCACATTCAAAGAATGACCGTTTGCAGTTCTTTATAAGCCATAAAATGGTTAGAAAAGCTGCTGTGCATAATAATTTGGAACAGAGTGTTTTGAGTTTTTATTGAAAAAAAATACGGTTCTCATGGGAAAATTTGTTCAGTAAAATTTGATTTATACTGTAATAGTTCATAACTTGGGAATTATACTGACCATCATTTGCATCGACCGTTTAAGAAAATCTGAGAAAATATCACTTTCATAATAATTTGGAACACTGTATATTAAAATTAAATTTAAAAAGTGTAGTATTATTTTATCAGCTCTTTCCCAAACGTTCAGTCATCATCTTCAGTTAACATGTATTCAAATTTAAATTTAATTAAAAAATAGTAGTATATTATTAGATCATTCCCAAAATGTTCAGTCATTTTCTTTTCAAATTCAATTCAAATAGATACCATTGATCCCAAAGGGAAATTAAGTTAAATATGTATACATAAGGTTGAGGGTTAGGGTTAACCCTAGTTACAGTTTATATAATGAAATAATTTTTCTGTTGCACCACACTAAATTTTTTTCTGGCTTGCTCTGGCCAAAGGAGCACCAGTGCCTATTGGTAATTCAGCAAGAAATTCAAACTATTATAGAGATTCTGCATATACATGTATATTTCAAATTATCATTTTATTATCATTTTTTGAGTAGAACTAAAAATGTGTTTTTTGAGAATCTTAGAATATTACATAGAATAAAAATACAAAACCATTTTATGTCCTTGAGGAGTTCTGAATGAACTATTGTCATTAACATCCAAGGTAAGCCACAAAATAGTCGCTCCTGAAGACGCTGGCTGTCTACAGCCTGTTGCACCCAGGCATATTAATGGAAAATTCAGTGGAAGAAAAAAAGTTTGTTAGAGATAGTCCCCATTTTTGTTGATCTTAAGTCATTTTTTGAGGAAGGCCATAATTTGCTTTTGTACCTTAACTGAAAGCCATAATCATCAAAGTTGATCAGAAATGTTTTAAATAAATTCCTATGAGGATGGCCAATTTATATTTGTGTTTCATTTTGTTTTGAACAGAATTAGTGTTACTCTTCTGTATTATTGTCATTTATTGAGATTCACCTGTTAATGAGAGCCTAAAATTCAAAACATACATTTTCAAATACAAACATCCACTATAGGCCCCAATGTCTCCTTGTTTTACTTCCTTCCAAATCCATGTTCAAAATAGCATCATATCTCATTTTTATTTTTATCTAATTACCCTCAACTTTGTCTGTTTGCATCAGATAATAGTTGTTCATGCTTACATTTAGACCTTGCTGATGTATCTTTTAGATAGACAGCCTGGAATGAATGTGAACTTTTTTAACCTGAACGAAAACGAAACAGAAAACGTTTTATCCTGGACTGCAAACACAACCAGCACAAAAGTTTGAAATGTTTCTAAGGTACAACACCGTTTAGCTTTTCAGGAGGTCATATCTCACTTGCTGACAACTTATGCTTCAATCCCAATCAGCTGGGCAGTTAGCTTTAGCAGCTAAAGCCAAACCAGAGGAGGATCGTTGTTGTCCTAAAATAAGTCCACACTTAAAAACGTCACAGTGGGTCAAAGAAACGCAGCTTTGCTTTGCAGAAAGGCTCATTGAATCTAGAGGCATTGAATCCAGTAGAGAAAGTGGAACGCCATCAACTGCTGTGCCATCATTTACATAGATCGCTGTTTGAGTAAGTCTAGATTAACTTCTTGATTTAGTCAAATAACTTTTTAAAACAAAATTTCCTGATCTCAGGTCATCATTCTTCGGTGTGTTTTACAGTAGAAATGACGTTCTGGTTTTACCGATGCAAAGTGACTATTTGCTCGCTGATATTTTCGCTTGAGTCCTGAAAAGTGCTGTGCACTACGTGGAAAAGGTGGGTTATTTTTCACACCCAGCGGCAGGTTTTGTCTTCCTTTATGCCAACATCTGCAGAACATCTGAAACCCACTACGTCTCATTATCAGGACGTTGCGTCACATCTCATCTGTAACGGTGATTGCTCTCCTTCTTGGCTCGGTAATGTTTATCCTGGGGACATTTGAACAGTGGCAGGGGGAAAACTTAAATCGGTTCCATGTGCGTATGCGTCTTTACGTGTCTGGTTCTGTGTGGCTGAGGCGTGTCTGGTTGGGGTGGAAACAGTAGGGCCCCTGTTCCGTCTGGGTTCGGCCCAACAACGGTTACGCTCTGGACGTCACACTCAGCCTCACTGCTAAACGTGGCACACTGCAACTATTATTGGTCCGCTGCTGACATAATAGACCATCTCGCATGGGACCTGCCCTAAATGACGACCACTGAAAGCAGAGTCAGCATCCAAGTCATGACAGAGGCAGGGCTGCAGCTGGAGACACGGAGCTTTCTGTAGAGCTGCATGCTGCAGCTCAGGAACACTCGACATTCCTTTAGCTGAATAGTAGAAGAAAATCGTCTGCTGTAGCCATTTATGTTAACATTTTGTACAATGTTATTTCCACCAATTTTATTCTTCTTTGGGTGGTTAGAGTAGTGAGTTTATAACCAAAATCTTCAATTAATTTTTATATTTGAAATTGTTTAGATCACTTTAGACATTAACCTAAGTGATTAAGAACACACAGGGTGTGCGGTGGAGGTCTGTTGTTTGGGCAAATGTCCAGTTTTTGTAAAACAGTTGGTTTTTTTTGTTTTTTTTTTTTACCACTTTTTGAACTGGAAACGTCCAATTAAGCTAGGTTTTCTTTTTCAACTAAGTTGGAAGAGATTTTTAGTTAATATTTTGTCTATTTATTTTTTTGTTTTTACAACAAATAAACCTTTTATATTTCTTTCAAACAATCAAGTCGGAAGTGCGTGCAAGAGTCAAACCAGCTGTTAACACTCGCGAACTTTGTTGGATATTTTGGTTTCTTGATTAGAAAAATTTCTGATGCCCAACACTGTCTGCAAATTAGATTGAATAGAAGGACGGCATCCATTTGCAAAATCTAAAAACATTTTCTGAGCTCTTTGAATCTCTGATTTCGCCTTCCAAGATGGCTGCTGCATACATAAATGATGTGAACATTACAAACATAGATTGCTCATGAGAAGTCCTGATATTTATGTTTTGCCTGAAGCTAAAGAATACATTTCACTTGAACTTTGACCATTAGCATCAGCATAATTAGCAAATTCCAAACTTAAACACTCTCAATCTGACATCGTTCTCAGATCCGAGTGCAGACCTCACTGCTGCTACTTTTGTCATCGAAGGTCATTATTTATCCTCACTACCTCTGGAGCTCCAACAATAGCCTGTACTGTCTTAGCAGGAATACAGAACCACCCAACATACTTTTCGGCCTGTACGCTACATGCATACAGGCAATTTGGGGAACCGGTGGACCATGGCGACATTGGAGCAAGAGTATGAACAATGGGATTGCTACCAACACAGATGTTAATTGGCAGCTATTCATTTTAAACGATCTGAGTACAGCTTGTGACTGAAACCCAGAAATTAGCAGCCCTCTCAGGAGGTAATTGAGACTCTTTGTGGGCAAACAACATCAATCTCCAACCTCAATGAGCGACGTGACAAAGAAAGGTGACATTTACTCCTATTTGAGTTGATCTCTCTGAGGTGAGTAACGTTTCTGTGACCAAAACGGGCAATAAAGAGTGGATAAAAAATGGCCACAACTTGAAGTGGTTTCAAATCCAAGGAACTTCAGAAGCTAAAATCCAGCTGAGACCCGAATGAAATGGAAAAAACCCCCAAAAGATTTTCATTTCAGTTTGCAAGATCCTGTTTTGTTTTTTTTGTTTTTTTTTTGTTTCTTTTTACAGAGTATATCTTGAGAACAAGGATGTAACTATCCTATAATTAGAAGCATAGCAAACATAACATTTAGGGAAGTAAAAAACCCCACTACATATCAGCCTTCATCCATTCATTGTACAAGAGTTTTACAGCCAGTTCTCTTTTTCATAAGCATCCTAAATCAAGTGAAGTGTATCTACTCAGAGTATTTACCTTTGAATCCATCCTCCACTTTACTGTCACAGAGTCTCATTCAAGAAAGAGAATATGTAGAAAGACTAAAGCGTTTTAAAAAAAAAAGGAAAAAAAGAGAAAGTTGTTTCAATGATTTCTCAATAAACTGCTAAAATATCAAATCTAGGCTTTGTAAGCAGTAGAATATTCTACCAGCTGTTTTATGTTTTGTTCAGAGTAATTGTTAGATAAAACTTTTAATTTGCACTTCTTCCACAGACAAAACAAACAAACAAAAGGAAATATAAAAATGACAACAAAAAACACAAAGTAAGTCGAACTTATGAGATGAAATA